ACAAAAGCCAAAGACTTGTTCCTAACGATGTCCAAGAACTGGAACGGGTTAAACACCGGCAGGTCGCAGCCGTCGGGCTTCCACCGCCACTTCATGAAACCGTCGTCCGGGCGCCCGAATTTCATGCAGTTCTGGTGCTGGTGGATCGCCCAACACGTGGCGTTGGTGTAATACGGGGCATTCGGGTTGGGCACCCATTCTCCGGTGAAGATGTCGCACCCATCGCCCTCCTCCTTGATCTTTATATCCTCCTCCTTCACCCTCCCGTTGTACGGCGGCGACACCTCCGACGATGCATCGAGGGTGGCCGCATCTGGGTATTTATTTAACGACCGGAACACCGGCACCAACGTTATTGCTACTAATGTTAAGAAGGCAAACATTACTATCTTCGGACATTTTTGCGCCGTGGAGCTACTTTTCCCGCCGAGTAGCTCCATGGATTTCTAAGGAGAGAAAGAAGGTGGGGAAATGGGAAATGATTACAACAACAACAAATTAAATAGATGCTTAATTGCTTATTTGTGATTTGTATTAAAACCAACGTGGGACTCATAATAATAATAATAATAATAATAATAATAATAATATTATTATTATTATTATTATTATTATTCTTATTATGGTTTCCGTTGTACCTAAGTATCCCTAAATAATTGTTCCAACTTCATTTGTTTACCCTTCACAACATGTATTATCACATAAATAGTCTTTTCTATATGTCCATGTCACATTGTTACCTAATTACATGTTACTAAACATCTTCTCATTCGTTTTGTAAAGTAGTAAATGTCACCTATACCCCTATAAAAATGTTGCAATTTGGGTCCGGTAAAAGAACGAAAAATATATAACAGTTTAATGCGGTTATGATTTTGAATTTAAATAATCTTATTTATATTTTTTTATATGACACAGAAAAGAAAAATATAAAAACAGAGAAACGCAAGATGCAAAGTGTGACCAAAATGTATAAATATGAAAAATATAAGTGTGTGTTTAATTTGTGTATATATGTGTGTATTATTTATTGCTTTCATTTTAGGAAATGCATTTTTAAAATTAGGGAAACAATCCTAGGAGAAGTTTTGACAAATTCTTAGGAGGAAACGTTGTCGAAACACAAAAACACTCTAGTCGTGTTGCACAATTCTGTTTGTTAGTGAATCAAAAAAAAAAAAAATTACAATATTGTTTTTTTCAAAACCGGTGGTATTAATATTGTTTGGTAAATAGCGTTTTGACAACAAATAATAATAATAATGATTTTCAACACTTTAGCGGATTGACTAAATCAAAACGCTAAAATACAAATTTTAGCTTTTTTAATTAGCATTTACTATCTTTATAAAATACTAATAACGCTGGTCAAAACTGAAAACACAATTATATATACTATCCGCTTATAGTTAATTGTTAAACAAGATATATTGCAATGAGGAGTAGTGGTTTAGCTATCTATCATTCCCATGGCTCACCGAAAGGCAAAAATCTTAATTAATAAAATAATGAAGTATTCCTAAAGTGTATACATATGGATAGATACATAAGGAGTATTGTTGGTTTTAGGGTTTTTGAGTCCAGGGAGGTCCAACACAACTTTGATTGGTGGATACACCTTTCGCAATGCGGCTTTGAAAATGGTAATAATAGCAGTAAGGAAAAGGGTGTCTCTCTCTATTATCTGGGCATGGACTCGCCCCCTTACATTCACGGAGGGCCCTTTATATAGTAGGCACTCCTCTACCGAGTTAAAGCACATTAAAAGGCTATTTTAAGGCTAATTATGTTTTGGGGCCGTTGAGTGGCGTTATCAGGCCGGCCAACGGCTCTCTCGGGCTCTCAACGGCTTGCTCGGTCGAACCTCTTAACTGCTGCTGTAAATGCTAAGCAACGACTCTCTGCCGAGTCATTACCTCAACCTGGGCCTGGGTCGACTCCTGGACTCGACCCTGGCTCCTGTTGGGCCCTGTAAACCTTTATCCACTGGATCGTTCCTCAATCGCTCTGGGCTTCTTCCACTATCCGTGGACTCTATCCCTTGGGCCTTGTTCTTCTTGGGCCGGGGTCCACACCCCATCAAGTGTATTCGCCGGCGGCCCCTACAAAAATAATATAATAATGCCGGAATGTTAGAGGGTGATTTAGATTATTAGTCTTATAACGATAAAAATATTTGATACTGTATGTATGCATAAAAAATACCATTGATCAAGTAAAAGTATTATAGAGTATAAATCAAGCTTTCTTTTGAGTAAATTTTATATGGTGTAGACGTAATTTGAATCGCATCTGAATCATTCTCAAAGTGGTGTGAATATTATATGTTATATGCATAAAATAATTTTTTTTAAAAAAAAAATACCATTAACCGTAATTGCAGAATCTGTTATTATTACTATGCCAAAAAAAAAAGAAAAAAAAAAAAAAACTATTGTCATTATATTCCTTTTAAAGGTAAAACAAAAATTGTATAATAGGAGAATTTTGATAAGAGGTACAATAATGCAAAAATTCAAGGGCATTGCGGAAATTTTAAGAGGTAAACTGGTAGACCATAACATTGTTGTATTAGTAGTTCCAATTAATACAATAACATACTTAATCCCCTCAAGATGGAGTAGTCTTGTACATAAAGATTTATCAACTTTAATTTAGTCCCTGTTTCTTTTTGAGTGCCATGGAAGGAAAGAACCAAGTCTTCTAGACTTGCAGAAAACTAAACAAGTATAGTTACATTAGCCCCAACAAGAATAGTCGAGTGAATAGAGCATGATTATTGTACAAAAAATGTCACGGGTTTGATTCTTGTCAACACTTACTTGATCAAATTATTGCACAAAATCTTCTTATGTGATGAATAAATTAGTTTATCCAATACATACTCTCAAGTAATACGGTCACGCTTGTGTGGGATCGTATCTGTGAAACGGATCGGATTGGGTCAATATGAAAAATGTAATACTTATACTTAAAAATATAATACTAATTAATAATAGGAATAAAGTGTTTGTATTTTTCTTCGAGTACAATACTAAAAGTCAATGTCACCACTGGGGTTCGAACTTGTTGTCTAGACATACTTTCTCAATCTATTGAAGCACAAAAAGTCAATGTCTCCACTGGAGTTCAAACTTGTGACCTCCCATTTGTGAGAGTTAGTGTCATTAAGCTACAAGCTACTTGACATAAAAAATTGTTTGTTACTTTTATAAGAGAAAACATAATACTTTTGAAGCACAAGTGTCAAATAGACTCATCTACTACTTTCAAGTGCTCAATTCCCCCATCAACTAAAACATAATCTAATTGGACACACTTACTTTTAAAAATTTGTCAATTAACTTTTTTTGTAGGTTACTTTCAGGTTGCCATTCTATACTGCTGACATATAATTTTAGTTAATTAAAAATGGTAATGATGTGGAATTTACTTCCTAATCTCTAAGGAGGCACCGCCGATCCCGCTGCTACGTCGGGAAAAGAGGCAAATTAAAGATACAAATAATATGTTGAATGGAAGCATATATCCCCCGCCTCTTTCATTAGCAGGTGCCAGGAGGAGCTCTGTATTATGTCGGAACAGTCGCCGGGAAGAACATCTGTCTAACTCCTTCTGCCTTGATGATGGAGAGGATGATGGCCGATGCACTTTGTAAATATTTCATTTTCATCACACAAGTTAAAATCCAAGGAAAGTGGGGAAAGAAAGAAACAAAGAATGAATGAGAGATTCATCACATAGGTTAAAATCCAAGGAAAGTGGGGAAAGAAAGAATGAATGAATGAATGAATGAGAGATTGAAATATGAGGTGGCGAACCGAGATTAATTAAATTTTTTAATTAGAAACTAAATTCCACATCATTACAATTTTTAATTAAATAAAATTATATGTCAACAGTAGCAACTTGGAGGTAACTTACAAAAAAAAAGTTAATTGACAAATTTTGTGAAGTAAGTGTGTCCAATTAGATTATGTTTAAGTTGATGCGGAGAATTGAGCACTTGGAACTTGGAAGTAGTAGATGGACCTGTTTGACACTTATGTCTACTTTTGATGATAAATATAATATTTTTAAATTAAAATGTAAAAGTATTACATTTTTCTTCCAAAAATATTACATTTTTTTTTCATATAAGTAATAAACATTTTATTCCTCATTTAGTATTAAATTTTTCAATATAAATATTACATTTCATCTTAATCCGACTTGTCTCACGGACAAAGATCTGTGAGACGATCTCATACAAATTTTTGCCTAAATAATAATCGTGAGTTTTACTCATCACTTAAGAAAACAGTGACATTAAATGGCTTTTTTTTTTTTGGTTTAATCAACACACAAAAGAAATTAGAAAGCTTTAAGGTGGGCCCAATAGGCCAATGGGAAATGGGTCAGATAACAAGCCCAAAATCACAAATCTTTGTTTGGATCAAATCAATCAGAGCCCAGGAAAGCAGCCCAGTTATTTTTTTTTTAAAAAAAAATCTTTTATTTTTCTTACCTTAAATTAGTGTGGTCCAGGTCCAGTTTTTCACAAAAACAGCAAACCATTAATAAACAAAAAATTTAATGAATTGCAGATTTTGGTTGCCTGTTTTCCTCTTATATATACTAGCAGTCTAGGACCACTGACTGATCTTAAATGGCCAATAAGCAATTATTTCTACCCAAAAAAAAAAAAAAAAAAAGATGGAATTTCTTCTTATCAGCACCACCATGGATGATAACCAATTAACCACAAACAGTTCACTTTAAGCCATTGAATTTTGCAGTGAAAGAAGAAACTTAAGAGCAGCATGAAGAAGACTTCATCTGTAAATATATAACTAACATTATAAATGAATTAAAATTGAACTCATTCAATTTAATAGTTTACATGGTGGGGTATAGATGTGTAGTAACCTCCGACCTATTGTCATCCCAATTTTCAAACAAAGTAAAATTTGTGGGTCGGGTAATGTATCTAAGAAACCTCCGACCCATTGCCATCCCGATTTTCAAACAAAGTAAAACTTATAAACCCGTAATGGCAAGCAAATTGAATTTCACACAAAAAAGGGTACATGATAGAAGTACAAAATTCACCTTGATGATCTATCTTGGACCTCCCTCTTGAGCAATTCCAGAAAGAAGTCTCCCCAGGTATCAATTGGCCCTGGCAAACACCAGTGCACACAGTCATTGTAATTCGTGACATTCGGGTTCTGCCAGTGCCCATACTTATTAGGATGTCCATCCGGTCTCAACAACATTGCCTGTGTTACATCGAACAGTCTTAGCCTCGTCCCCTTTTGCCTTGCTTCTTCTTCGGCAATCCTGAATTCTTCTCTCTGAATATCGTATGAATCAAACTTGAACTCGCTCAGAGCCGAGTCGTTCCTCCTGAATGGCACTGTTCTCACGCACTCTCCACCTTGGTCCCAAGGCCCGTGCTCGAAGTGTTGAGGGGCGAAGGATCTCAAAAACGTGACGCCCTTGAAATTTTCCAGGCTGTTAATTGCTCGAAAGGCTGTCCTTAAAGCCCTCTGGTAGCTGAAAGCACTCGACAGTTGGGTAATGTTGGGATCTGAGCAGTAAAGGCATCCCACGAGTTTTCCCTCTAGGTAAAAACTGGTGGGTCTGAAGAACCAGTGGCCAGCATTGATTATTACATAGTCGAAATCCTTGATTTTGGTAGTCCAAGATTCATCGAACTCATCCAGATACAGGTTGAAGGGGTTTGTGTTGATTTCAGAAAACGTCTCCCCCGTCTTGACCAAATAGGGCGACCAAAACATCGTAATGTTGAAGTCATAATCTCGGTACACAAAACTCTTCCGATTGTCATCCTTTGTTTCTGAAACATCCAAAGGATATGTTACCTGGAAAAGGAAACATTACTAAAAATATAAAAGTTGAACCGTACCCTTCAACAGTAACAGAATAAGGTTTCAATCCCAATCCTTTTCAGCCTCTTTTAATTACATTACAGGTCTACAGCCTACAGGACATTATAATTTCTGTGGTCCCGAGCCATTTGAACTCTGATTGATTATCTCTTACAGATCTATATTAATGACGGAAGACAAATGGATCTGAACATATAACTGTGAATTAAAGTCCCGGGACAGGGAGATCGCAAGGCCTACCCTATGTCCAACTCATCTTAGCGAAAGCGAAAAATCATAAAACTATAATGAATTATGAACTTCATATCAAACTTCAGTCGGTGTCTCGTTTTAAAAGGTTTGCTTCAATGATTATTTATATGGAGTCCGATTTATATATATATATATATATATATATATATATATATATATATATATATATATATATATATATATATATAGTATATAGTATATACACACACATTCATCTCACTGCCCAATTGCTTAAAAATTAAACATGAAAAAAGACAAAAGACAAAAGGGCATCCTCTACATCTTTACTATGTATGTCATCATAAATCCCTTGCTAATGAAAGAAGGATTATAAAGACAACATTGTAAAACACGGCTAAGAAAAGTAAGTTTTATGGCACAAAATTCATCTAACGTTTTCCATTTTTATCTCGGATCCAAATCAAAAGCCCCTCCTGTATGGTGCTCCATTATTCTACTTCAAATCTTGAAAAATACATAAGGAATTATTAGTACCAACCTTGGGGGACCCATGACAATCTGTTTCTATATGGATTCAGATCTACCCATTTCACAGCCATATGCTGTCCCTTTCTCTAGGCCAAGCAATGAATGAACACGGGACAAAATCAACCAGATTCGTGACACATAATAACACTACTAAAACCACATTTTTTCTTAATTCCCAAATAGCTGGCGGCAACATTAAATAAATCCATAAACCAAAACATTTATGTCACTGATTTACCTCTAAAAGACAAATGCAGGGGATAAACAAATATAATATACTAAACACGTTGAAATTAACATTCCATTGTTTCATATAATTGGCAAATCTTAACATGGACCACCACATTCTGCAATAGGGCTCAGTTTTTCCATATCTTCACAAAAGCATAATCTTTTTGCATGACATATTAAGCCAAATCACAACACCATAGTTTGATTTAGATAATCTAGTATTTACATATTTGACAAACAAACACAATTGTATGGTTTACTTAACTTCAAATCAATTATGGATAAATGAAGAATCAACCAAAAGCATTATTCATAACTACAAGCTTTACCATGCATAATTGCAAGCTTTACCAAATAAAATATATAGTACCCATGATAATGTCGGTGCTTTTATTATATTAGTATTAGTATTTGCTTTCTTAAAGGTTGTTCTTTTGGGGTCACTCAAAAAAGTTCTTTTGTTATTTTTAAAATTAATTTCTAGCAGAAATGGATGCATTAGTTGATTGAGGTAATGAATTCCAGCAAAGGTTCAGAGTCTAAGACGATGAAGACATGATTTTTGAGGAGGTAAACATTGAAGCAGACAAAGGGGCGAAATTCACGGGATTAAGGAAAAAACTCAAAAAGGTTGTCGTACCCTTGACAAGAGGCAAACCAGCGACTGCATATGATTTCTGGCAATGGAGTCCCCGACAAAGGCCAAAGCTTTGCCCCGAACGAGTTCCAGGAAGTCGAACGGGTCAAAAACGGGCAGCTCGCACCCATCGGGCCTCCACCGCCACTTCAAGTACCCATTATCGGGCCGCCCGAACTTCATGCAATTCTGATGCTCTTGAATCCCCCAACACGTGTCGTTGGTGTAATAAGGCGCCTCCGGGTTGGGAACCCATTCTCCGGCGAAGATATCGCAGCGGCTGACGCTCTCCGCCGTCCTGATACGCCGGGGTTCCGCCTTCGGCGGGCTCCTGCTCAGATCTGCCCCGATTTCCTCGCTGGTCCGCTGGTTTGGCGGGTAAAGATCGACTTCGACATTTGGGGTTCTGTTGAAGGTGTAGTAAAGCGGGAAGACGGTGAGAAAGATGATGGTGAGGGCGAGTGGGAGGATAATCTTGGGAGTCTTGTGAATTGTGGGTTTCTTTGCAGAGGGGAAATCCATATCCATGGAGAAGAAGATGAGGGAATAGTCTACAGTAGGATAGTGTGACAAGGGAAAGTAAGGAAAATCAGCGCAGTAAATTGCTCCGTTACAACAGCAGGGACAATAGAGGGAGAGTATATAGGAGCATTGATTGATATTGGAGGCATTCTTTAATGGTATTTATATTTGTTTTCGTTGAAAGTGCATGGGCAAAATATTATGTGGACCCGTGTTTAAAATATAAAATTTAAAATATAAATGGTAAACATTTAATATGTAAATTGTGAATAATAAATATATAAATTGTGTATGCAAATTTGGAAGAGTTAATTTTATTTTTGGTTCTAAATTTTTATGTGATAGTTTATTTTAGTCTTTTTTATCAAAACATTTATTTTTGGTTCTAGTATTATTGTGACATGATCAATTTTGGTTATCTATCAAAAAATCATTGAAATTTCATTAAATACAAATATACAATGACATTTCGCTTTTCAATTATTAATATTTTCAAAAAAAAAATAAACATATAAAATATAACGGGTCAACGCACTTTGTATTAAAAAGATCAAAATACTCTTCTGTTTAACGAAATTTCAACAATTTTGTTGATAGAGGACCAAAATTGATCATGTCTCAATAATACTAATATCAAAATGAGATGTTCTGATAAAAATGACTAAAAGTAGACTACTACCTATAAATATAAGATTAAAAATGAAATTAACTCAACTTTTAAACATTCAATATATAATTGTGTAAGGTGAACCCTAATCTATGGCGTAATACCTGAAATTATAAGTAATAGTATTATATGTAAATCCCACACCAATATCCAATCGAATCTCCCATTAATTAAATGCCCCACAACCCCTTTTTCTCTTACTCTTTACAAACTACAACAATATATTATTAATAAAAATATAAAACTCCCTTGAATAATGTGCTATATGAAGAAAAAAATGTAAAATTAAAAACCTCATAACCTATTAAACTTACTCATAGGTTTACAATATAATCATATTATTCTACTAAACTACAACCTAGTTTTTCAATATTTTTTTAGCAAACAATTTCAACGAACATGTCACTCTTGTCTTATGTAATTTATTATATATTAGTTGGCAATTAGTTTTGGACTATTACTTCACATCAAAATTCAAATGCGACTAAAGTTTTGGCTCTAATTTTGAAGAGCAAATTCCCTTTATTTATGTGTGTTGGTTTTATGACCAAAACAGTCAACAACATGTCAATATAATGCAACTAGTAAAAAATAAAATGTATGGCTTAAGAAAATTTAGAAAAATAAGATATTGTTATTACATCTAGTAAAAAATTGAAAAACAAAATTGTGACCCATCACAAGAATTTTTCAAAATATTTATATCGTTCAAACTATCAATTAAAACTCCCACTAAATAAGAAAAATAAATCTCTCAAATTAAGAGCATTAATTACAAGTTAATATTTTAAAATATTAAAAAATTGGTCTTCAAATAATTAAGCAAACTATTTCTTAAAATTTGACCAATCTTCTGATTATCAAGTTTTAGACTATATAGAACATGAATCAACTATTTAGAATAAATATAATCATTTGAACTGAGGCGAATACCAGTCCATATGCATCTAACTCATCAACGTGCGTTAGCCAATTAAGCTTTAAGAATTAAGATCATTGACTATTAAGTCATGAATATTTAGTCTTGAAAACATATACGACATCTATAGGTAATTTTTCTTTTTCTGTATATTAATTAGATGTCATATCGTGACCAAAATTGAAATAGATTATACGATAAAGATATCATATGTGTTAATACCATCTTGACCATTTAAACATCCATTAATTTCGGAGGACGACTTACCTCATCCCTTAAGAGATGCTGGAGTTCGAACCCGTATATATGCCTCAATCGATGGTTGGCTCTAGGATTCTTGGCAAGCTTTGTTTTCAGCGATACTACCCGACCACGCGACGCAGCGGCACAACTGGTAGACAATTGAATCCACGCATCGTGGGCAGAGGCAGCGGAAGAAATCACTATTGCAAGATATCAGATAAGCTACCAAGGATGGCACTGAGAATTATTTGGTCTTGCTGGAACTAGGTTGTGTAGGCAGGATTTAGTGCAGTGCAATCCTCATTAGAAAATTTACTTGCTGTTTGAGTGGTTCCTGTAATATAGCCTAGGAGGTCCAGGCCGGCCTATAAGAGTACAATGGATTTCTTCCAGAAGGGGAAATTTGAGGATGTCAATTTGATTGGTAAGTGAGTTGGGGCATGAATATAGACAATGGCCGGGGGGTTACTGGCTGCCATGATCGGGAAGATGGAAAGATAGGGTGGGAGGGAAAGAGACAAGGAAAAAAAAATATTTTCTCGTTAGAGGTATGGCTCTGATACCATGTGAGAGTCTAAAGCTCAGTAGTTTATTCAATGATCCAGCAAGACTTTAATGGCGTGTTTGGTTCATAGAATAGGTCGGGAATGGAATACCGTCCCGAGAATAGACCTATTCCATTGTTTGTTTTATCATTTTATTCAAGGTAATAGCGTTTCCGGGAATGAGATATTCCCTTCGCAGGGGGGAATAGCCATTCCTAGGGGACCCCTTGGTATTAGCTATTCCCAAGTATTTGGGAATAGCTTTAGTACTATAATACCGAAAATACCCTACCACCGCCACCATTGCCGTCGTCTCCACCACTACCCCACCACCACCACCATCGTCACTGCCACCACAACCACCGCCAGCACTACTACCACCGCCGCCACCACTACTTCCACTGCCACCACAACCACCGCCGCCGCCACCGTCGCCACCGCCACCACCACCACCAACACCAACACCACTACATATTTTTATAAGGGTATTTATGTCTTTTGAAACATATTTCATTCAATTCCTTAAACCAACCAAGCACTGTAATATAATTCCTAAAGTCTATTCCTTCCGCGAACCAAACAATCGAATAGAATTCATATTGTATTCCTTGCCTATTTCATTCCTTATGGAATAACATTCCTATTACCTCAAAATTCATTTTGTGAACCAAACATGATGTAAATAGATTACAGGATCATAAAAGGTGAAACAGTTATGCATGTTCCCTAAGACTAGGCAATTAATTAGACTAATAACCAGGTAAAACAAAGACTATTTAGACTAATCTATAACCTACTTTGGCTTAGTTCAAATTTCTTTAGACAACTTTGTTTCCAACTGATTGTGTTGATCTACAGTCCGCTACTTTGATCCTAAAACCAACACTATTAACATCAACTTAATTACAAGAACATAATGAGTTTACAAAAACAAAATGAAAAAAAAAAAAAAATCAAATTTCAGACTTTCTATCTCTTCCTTCCCTCTTCATCAACTCCACCAAGAAATCATTCCAGGAATCAATGGGTCCCGGCAAGCACCAGTGCACGCAGTCATTCGGCGCCGTCGCGTTCGGATTCGGCCACCGCCCGAACTTACTAGGATGCCCGTCGGCCCTCAGCAACATCGGCAGCGTGGCGTCGAACAACCTAAGCTTCATCCCCTTTCTTCTCCCTTCTGTCTGCGCCGTCTTCAGTTCCTGCAACTGAATCTTGTAGAATTCCAGATTATAGTCGTCCAAATCCTTCTCGATTCTCTTCAACGGCTTCGTCCGCGCGCAGTCGCCGCCTTTGTCCCACGGCCCGTTCTCGAAGTGGGACGGCGCGAAAGATCTCAAGAACACCACGCCGTTGAAACTCTCCAGGCTGTTGATTGCCCGGAACGCCGTGTGGAACGCCCGCCGGTAGCTGAAATACGACGGCAGGTGCTTGATATCGGACTCCGGGCAGTACTGGCAGCCGACCACTTCGCCGTTTAAGTAGAAGTAAGTTGGCCGGAAAAACCAGTGGCCGGCGGAGATGATAACGTAGTCGAAACTCTCGATCTGGGTCGTCCAAGATTCGTCAAACTCGTCGAGAAACAGTTTGAAGGGACGTTTATCGTCGTTGGGGTCCATCTTTTCCGTCCTCACCAAATAGGGAGACCAGAATTTGGAAATATTGAAGTCGTAATCTCTGTATTCCCAACGTTTGAAGTTTTGGTCCGGTGAATTAGATGCGTCCACAGGTTGCGCTACCTGGGAAAAAGAAGAACTCATGATCAGATCAGAAAATCGCATGTTTCAAATGGATTGGAGATTCATAAATTATTAATGGAGATTTCGCTACTGGAAATTATGAAATTTCGAACCACCGATTTTAAATCAAGTCGAAAGCCTTGTTCTCACCACTTTTGATATCCGGAAAAATATCTTTGTTGCTATTTCCGACCATTTTTTAGTATCAATTTGATTTAAGATCTGGTCAGAAATTCCATAATTTTCATGTTCTGAGTTGTAAGCTTACCCTGGAGAGGACGCAAAGTAACGACTGCATATGATTTCTGGCGACGGAATCTCCGACGAAGGCCAGAGATTTTCCTCTAACCATTTCAAGAAATTGTTCCGGGTCAAAAATGGGAAGCTCACAACCCTCCGGCTTCCACCGCCATTTCAAGAACTCGGTGTCCGGCCGACCAAATTTCATACAATTCTGATGCTCCTGAATTGCCCAGTTGCACGTCATGTTCGTGTAATATGGCCCCTCCGGATTCTGAACCCATTCGCCGGAGAAAAGATTGCATCCCTCGTTATTATACGCTACTTCCGACGCCAAAACCTTAACATCATCATCATCACCACCCCCGTCGCTCCTCGCCGCCGGTACCTTCCCTTCCTTCTTCGGCGCTTCCGTTTTCGAAACAATTCTCGGAGCAGTCACCGCCGAGTCACGACGTTTCCGCCGCCTGGACCGTCTCCTCCGCCTACTCGACTTCTTCCTCGGCGCAACCTTCACCTTCTCCTCCGCGGCTAACAAATTAACTTCCCCGGAATTCGACGTCGCCGGATTTTCAAGATTACTCTTGGGGGGCACCTGAACCTTCGCCTCCTCCACCGCCGCGGTTACCAAGTTAATGTCGACGATAGTCGACGATATATTCTCACGGCGATCCTCATGATCACTATTAACATCAAAAACACTATCCTCCGCTGCCTCCCCTGCCTCCGCCGCCTCCGGCGGCGCTTGACTCTCCCCGCCACTGGATCTGCATGGCTGCGTGACCACGCCCTCAACCGGGCACGGCTGCTCTTCCGCCGGCGGCAGAATCGGATCGTCACCGTCATCGGAAGAAAGACGGGAGAGAATGGTCTGGGAGTAGCGAATGGAGGGATAAGAGATGGAAACAAAGGTGAATAAAACTAAGACGGCGACGAAGGGGATAACCTTGGGGCCGACTCTTCGCCGCGTCTGGGGTTTTCCTCCTGCGACATGATCGTTGCCTTGGGACTTCATTGTGCGTGGTTGAAGAAATTAAGGAAAGGAGGAGAGTTGACAAGGAAAATCAAAGAATGTTTGTGAATTCATAGTATGCATGCATGTTTTGCGCTGACTTCACAAACAAAGCGATGGTTTAACTTGTTGGGTATAGTACCACCCACCTAAAATGGAAACAAATGGACGCACTACAATTTTCGAGCGAGGAAAAATATTTAAAAGGTGAGATGATGCTTTAAATGGTAACTTGTTTATCAATGAATTTGTGGTTTAAGTGACAAGAAGTCGCTCTCACATATAAGAAGTTATGGCAAATTATGCTGTGTAATCGTATCTACCTCGATTCCAAAACTGTTATAATTGTAAATATAGAGTTCAAAAATTATGAACATATAATTCTGTAATTGTGAATATAGAGTTTAATAATTGTGAATATGAAGTTCAAAAATTACGAACATAAAATTCTATAATTATGGACATAGAGTTTTATAATTATAAATATAGAATTCAATAATTAAAAGGTTATGAATTCGTGCTTAGGTGAAACGGTACTAACTCTTTATACGTAACTCGTTTCTCAATTATTAGGGACTCCATATATATATATATATATATATATATATATATATATATATATATATATATATATATATATATATATATATATATATTTCTCAAAATTATCATTCCGGTGGAAGTCCCTTATTGACAAAATCAAAAAATATTTTTTTAATCCTAATTTTTCCTCAGATGTGTTATATATTCATTATGTATGTATATGAATTGGTTGACCACATTTATTTGTAATCAAATATTGTGAAATTCAATCAAATAGTTTTTTTTTTTTTTTGGTGGAAAAATTCAATCAAATAGTATTATAGTAAAAGATTGGTTAACATAATTGGTCGGAAAAAAACGTATTACTTAAGAAAATTAAAAAAAAAAAAAGTGGTAATCAAATATTGTGAAATTCAATCAAATAGTATTGTAGTCGAAGGTTGGTTAACACAATTGGTCAAAAAAAAAACATATTACTTAAGGAAATTTAAAATAAATAAATAAATAAAACGTATTATAGGCCCAAGCTCATTATGAGTTCTACTTCATTTCGTTGACAATTAAAACATTACATTTGTCATATATATCAATATTTAACAGATTTTGTAGATCAATATCTTTCGTAAATATTTAATAGATTTTGTAGACCAATACATTCGTATTAGTCTACAAAATCTGTTAAGTATTAATATGACAAATATAATCTTTTAATTACCAACGAGAAGTGTAAAACATAATGATAATAATTGAAAGACTAAATGTGAAGGAACCAATAATAATAATAATAATAATTTGAGTTTGTTTTGCTATAATTTAACATATAAAAGTGTCATTTTTTTCCTTTAAAAAAAGTGTAATTTTTTTTCTAAAAATAAAAATGTAGACATTGGAAGTTTACAAAAGGGAATGCCATAGCCGACTGTTACAAAATTATTTTATAACATATTTGTTTCCGTTGGCGCAAATGGCACGTTGATATTTCAAAATGGACCGGTTCAGCGTTTAAAAAATGTAGCAAATTGGACATCTATTGATCTGGGCCAAATCAATTAAATTTATCTTCAATACAAGGGCAATGGAAGAGACCACCTGAAGGCATGCTTAAACTAAATGCATGTGGACGCAGCTATGGACAAACACTCAAGTGCTACAGAATTTGGATTCATCTTAAGGGGTTCAAGTGGCTGCTTTGTTGCTGCAATGGAGAAAAATTGGAAATGTCTATATCAATCAAGGATGGCAGAGGCAATTGGTATCAGGGAGGGTTGAATTGGATAAAATTTCTTGGAGTTAGTAATGTCCAAGTTGAGTCTGATGTGCTTACGATCATTGATAGTGTTGAAAATCATTCAGACTGGATTGCATTTGACCTTATTATTGAGGACCTATTAGCTTCTTGTTTGCTAGGCGTTATGCGAATAGAGCAGCCCATAAACTTGCTAGAAAGTTGTATTCATAGCTGAACATAAGGAATAACTTGCTAGAAAGTTGTATTCATAGCTGAACATAAGGAATGGAGTTAGAATCCTCCGAGTTCAATTCCCTCTATGATGTACTTTGTAGTGATTTGAATTAATGATGATTTTTCTTGTTTTTTAAAAAATAATAAATAAATTAAATACAATGGCAAAAGACACCAACTATAAATACTATAGTCGAGCCATACGGCCCACACCAATTCAACTAGCAATCAAAATGACCTTCATCATATTTACAGAAACTTCCAAGATACACAAAGTCCACATGCATCACCAACCAGTGAGCGCAAAATTTGGATGTACTTAAAATTTTCACCGTTAGACACGATGATTAATTCCCACATTAGATTATAAACATATTGTTTGAATGGAACAACGGGTCTGAAGATTCAAAATTACTCCATACTTAAAACTAAGGATCGAATTCTTGACCTGAAAATTTAAGCTGGCCTTGAGCGCAAAAAATTACCTTTCTATAAAAATGAGAGATTCAATACCTCCATTAAATAGCATAAGAAATATCAAAATACTAATTGATTATCATATTCAAGAACCATTCCAATGACAACTTCAGAGTTACTTTTTAAAAAACACAGCTTTAATTTTTATTTTTAAACAAATCAAAACCCATAAATTTTCCTCAGTTTAGCACAAAAGCTATTTTGCACCGTTATCATTATTATTATTTTTTAACTTCATTGAAATAGCTTAATTTTTAAATCTAAATTTTTATTTGATCTGACGCTTTAAGTCAACAAAGAAAAAAAAACGGCTATAGTATTTTGAAAATGCTAACAAATGCCCTTTTAAGACAATTGTTAATTGTTATGAACTATTAACTGTCGACTTATCTTCCAACGGCTGTTTTTAATAATAATAATGGAATTTTTAAAAATTCATATTAATACCAATCAATTCATATGCCCTTATGAGGTTAACTGAAATGGCAAATAATATTTTTCAAAACTCAAAAAATTTACCGTTCACATATGAAAAATAAATCATACTAAAAATATCATCTTGGATTAGGAAAATATTATTAAAAATTAAATTCAAATTTATACAAATACGATAATTATGTTTCACCCGTTTTGGACAATTCAGGTGATAATTTAGGAATTTTTATATGGAGAAATCCGCACCACACACGAGTCCACCAACGTGGGAGTCAAACGTGGGCATACCAATTACACACCCACCCCCCTATTTAAACTTTCAATATAAATCACCCTATAAAACATCACTCTCGCTTAGTAACTTGCAAACTTCTTCCTAACAAACCATCTCCCAGGTACTTTTATACACATATTTTCACATTCATATATAATAATAATAACACCGCTGTCTGTATAATTGATGTACGTTTGTTATTTCTGGGCGCAGGTTGCTTGTTTAGTAATATCAAGATCGAAAAAAATGGTGATGATGGGGCTGGAGAGGCTGGTGGTGAGCCTGAAGACGAAGCTGCGGCGGAGCATGATGAAGACCAAGAACAATTCTTCATCGTACGACAAGATCGAGAAGAGCGACAGCATGCGAGTTGAAATACGCAGCAAAAAAGCCCAGAAGCTCATCCAAGAAACTCTTAAAATTGCAGATTCGCCGCAAACCAGAAGCTTCCCTTTCTAGATTCACTACTGTACTGTACTACTCTTATCTTAAGTCTTAAAAACATACATATTAATGCTACCATGCTACTATATATATATATACATCTTTCAATCAAAACTTCTCTTCTTCATCCCCTCCCTCCCTCTCTTCCTCCATGCCTCTCTCTCTCAACATATAGATACACATGTGTGTGTGTATAAATGATCATAAACACCTGGTGTTTAGTTGGTCTGGTAGTTATCTCGGTAACCATAAGATTCCATGTTCCTTCTTATAGAAGTTCTTGTTTTTTTCACCTTGAATATAAGTTTTATAGCAATTGTGTGATTTCTTGTAAATAAAAGAAACGTCTGGTGCATGTTTAGTGGTCCAGGGAATTAATTGCTGGAGCTTCAAGAAAGAAACAATACAGGAAAATGAGGTTTGTGGCGATTAAGAAGATGACGAATCAGCTGCTGTATTATATTAATGCTCAGTTTAGCTTTTATTATTACCTCTTTCTTTAATCATAAACAGCTTATTGCGTTCATAGTCATTCTTTGTCTTTTCCTCTTCTTTCCAAGGCATTGTAAATCTTAAGAACAGGTAGGGTAAATAGACGTCATCACTTTTTTATGCACTCTAATCTGCATTATTGAGATGAAAAATATACCCACATGTTCAGCTCGGTTAGTCACAAGGTGAAGTTTGGAAACAATGGCCTAAGATCGAGCCAACGGTAATGTAGGCACAACCTCTCAAAGTGAGGGTGCACAGTGAGTAAAGGTTTGGACTTGTGTTCAGCTATTCATCCTAAATGCTTCGGGCCGGGACGTGAGGGACCCTTGGGTCAAAAGGTTGAACCCAACCCTAAGGGTACCCTACAGAGCATCTGGGATGATGTAGGTTGAACCCCAACCCTAAGGGTCACTGAACATGAATCATAGAGGTTAGACCTACACTGTCGCTGGTGAGACTTGATCCCTTATTTCTAATTTTCACCTCTATAACCAGTTGAACTGCTCATGCAGACAATATTCCTTAAAATCATGATTTTACATTTGAATATCGTATGTTATTTGTATTTTTTAAAAAAATATTTTTACTCAATTGGTGTATAGCAATCAATAACATGTAACGTGAATCTAACTTATCAGTTCTAGCTAATCATGTGACTAATATTTGTCTGAAAGGCAATTACTAATTGTGCCACTTAAGGACGCCGGAAACGACAAATGCTACAGATACCACGTAATTATCCAGGTATTTAGTACGAATACTATACTTAATAATCCAATAAGCAACCAGATCATAACAATTAAATTAGGAATAATGTTTTCTTACGTTTGAGTTTGATGTGAAATTGTGAATAGAGATATATGTTTGGATCTACGGCTATAAGGTCGAGAATTCGAGTCAAAAGAAGATGGAGTACGGCATGAAATGGTACAGAAAAGGAAAAATCCAGTAAGATGGTGATGTGGGCGGCTAAGCTTTTGAATAAACATTAGTACAAAAATAAAAAGTATTTGTACTACAATTTTTATATTATTGATCTTACAATATATATATATATCAAATTAATAATCATACAATTATTTGTTATTCATATGAGCCATACTAAGTTGATGTTGATATGTAATTGATTTTGCTAAGACACGTCTTTGTTTATCTGAATGTCTGGTCATGATTCTAAAGAATTTGTTGTATCATTCACTTCTTCCAAACAAGAAAGTCCAAATGCTCTGCGCCCACTGAGGGCCAAACAATAAATTATATGCAGACTTGGATCTTTAAACGTAGATGATGATGTAGGGCATTTTCCTTTATTATTATTATTATTATTATTATTATGAGATATTCGGTAAATAATTGTTAGTTGATAATTGTTAACTGATAGTTGTTAGTTGATAATTGTTAGCTGATTAGGTTAGTAGATTTTACTAGTTAATAACATTAGCAGATTGTAGAAAAGTATTTGGTAAATTAACTATTAGCTTATTACATGCAATGACTTTCTCAATAAGCTGATCAAAAAAACTACTTTGATGAGCAGTTTTTTGAATTTTAACATTTTAGAACAATAAATTGTTATAAAAAGTTAAAGATCAAACACTCATAATTGTTTAACCAAGTCAAACAATTAATAATTGTCAAATAAATCAAAATTGACTGATAAACTAATTATATACCAAACAAGAACTATATTTTTTTTATTTTTATCAACGGGAAGGGGACAATATACTGCATATATTTAGAAGTATACAAGTGGTTCTAGGAATCCTCAAGCGTCGCATTATTCCAGTAGAAGTAAAATTAGTTTTCCCTACCCCTTCATGTAATACTACTCTGTATGGCAATCGATTCCTTTCACATACAGAATAAATAAACAAGAATTTCCAAATGGTAAATAAATGGTTTATATATTACCAAATGCGACGGTAAGTTTCAAAACGTCTCTGGTAATCCTGGCAGTGGATGCACGTCCATGGATGCAGTGGAGGATCCAGGCAATATGCATGTATACAGCGAGTCTGGCAAACGTGACAGTTGATGAGAAGTTCCTCGGGTTCTCGGGAAGAACATTGACAGCAGACTGGAGGCATTGCTGGCTGCATAATACCAAAGGACAAAACAAAACTGATCAGTGAAGCTGCTATGACGAATAACAGTTTACTAGATCGACACATGTTCGTATGAAATGATGTTAACCGATGACCCCTTGTGTCTTCTAAAGGGGAAAATGCGTGCAAAAAGCACCTGTAACTGAGTGAGACATGACAACAAATTGAAGGGACAGAAATCACAGAATGACACTTACATTAGCTGGAAAATGCGATGTTTCTCCATCAGGGAGAAGATAAATGTCTGTTCCTGGACGGTCTTGTGGAATGGTTTGTGAATATATTTTCTGATCAGAGGGTTCAGCGTCAGCAACCTTGGTAATACTAGTAAAACCAACCTTGCACAGGGGGCATGTTGAAGTTTTTCCACGTGATACCTGTGACAACGATATTTACTATTAGCAGGAATCATTTGGAACAAAATCTAGCCAAGTATCAGGAGTTTGATTGTATAATAGAGAAGAGTAACAATGTGCATAGACAGGAAAACAAAAAACAAAAACTTTGAAAATGAAAACAAGGTGATTTCTACCATTTGATCTGCCCAGCTTTGGATGCATGAGAAACAAAAACGGTGGCCACAAGGCAGCAACCCCCGGGATGAGCTGAAATCTGTCCAGCATATGACACAGGAGAGTGCTGGTGATGTGGGCAGTTTCACACAATTTTCATCTTCTTTCTGATCTACATCAACAATCCGTCTCTGCTCCAGTGGAGATTTAAATGGGGAAGCCAATGCACCTTCATTCTCTAAAGTTTCCCCAATGGTCACATTTAGCACTTCTTCAGTATCACCTGGAACTTCAATCCCATTTGTGTGATCCTCAGGGCAGCTAATTCTAGTTGTTTGACTGTTATTTGATGTGTGATCATGCCTCCCAATATTTGCACTATTAGACTGCATGGCACTTTCATGTTCTGGCAGAGTCCGAATTTGCGGGCTCAGTTCTTCTGAATCTGAAATCTCCAATACATCACTAATATTCTTCTTCACCAGTCTACGACGTTTAAGAGAAGTTTCTGGCAAGCCCATGCTTCCCTTCTTTGGTTTAAGAAATACTGCAGGCTCAGGACTCAGTTCCTCTGTCTATATAACAAGGGATACAAGATGATAAGAATGCAAGTTTGTAACACATTGTTGACCCAATCACAATTTCAAAAATTAATCAAAGTAATACATATTGAAAGGAAGAGAACTTTGTTATAGGTTCAGTATACAATGTCATCAAATTCCATACCTCCATCCTCCATGAGCCTGACATAGAAGAATCATAATGATCAAATCTACTGCTTAAGTTACGGTCACACTTAAGACTTCTATTTTTCATTTTCTTCCTTGATTTAGGCTTGGCTATATCAGGATCAGGAAAATATTCCTACAACAAATTCAGCACAAGAATGAAAAAAAATTTTGAAGTTACTTTCATAATCGAATTACATTGAATATCTAAGAACCGAATTTTCATTTAGGTAATTGCCTCAAATAGCAGATATTAACATCCATTACATTCATGACAATATCAAAGAATACAAGTATAAGGTACTTGAAAGACCAATTTATTAAGACAAATAAGCCCCATAATGCACCATTCCTATTGGTAAGCCTTGCCCTCTATGAGGTTTAATTCTCATCCAAGGAGAAATAAGAAAATTCCAAATCTTTTCAATAAATAGAGCCAATTCATGCTACATTCAAGGTAAGCCTGCATACCATAACGTACTAATGCAACCCATAAAACATGCAGAAAACGCATCAAGTGTGAACTGCTCTCAATTAAGAGTTTGCTTCTCTGCTGATGAGTCAATAAACAGAAGACTAATAATCGAAGACCAGAAGATGTAAAAAAGCAGTTAAATAGTGTCTAGATAAGTGTGAAATAAGGAAATGCCTTAACTGGTTTTAACAGTTTGCTGGATAATACATATGCAAATGAAAATAGTATAGTGAAGCAAACTCGGAAATCAGCTTGCTTTTGAAAGTGGAGTTGGCCAGAAAAACATGAGCACTAAGCACTCACCTCAACCTCAGTGTCAATCTGTGGTTCTTTATGATTACACCCACTGGATTGATTACCTTCACCAACTTGTGTGATGTTCATCAGCAGTGGCCCTACTTCTTGCCCACTGGAAAAGAAAAAAAATTTGAAATCATAAGAATTACTTAAATTTGATTTTAAAAACATTTACTAACCAACATTTACCAATTTAAATACAGTTACAACCCAAAGCAGCGGCACATCACCGGGTAGTGCATCAGATAAGTTGCTAATAAAAACCCATTCCTTGTTATACATGCTAGACTATACAAATTAACAGGCAATGGTTCAGCTACACTAGATTATTAGAGAAGGCAGAGGAGGCAAAGTATTACTAGAAATATGCACACAAAGTTGAGTTTCTTGCATGTACTCAAAAGTTAATGAGATATAGATCTCATACACTTGTATGATTTGGATCATTATATACCAAATTGTCAAATAGTTTTACTGTGAGTTGGAGTAAGATATAGGAAATAGTTAAAATTGTGACTGACTGACTGAGCATATATACATTTTTAAAACAATAAATTTAATTTCTTTGCACCAAATTCCGATTGATTCAAGGAAAATCTCAAACCATTGGAGCAACACCATTCCTTTTCAAATAATCCAGTGGTAACTATGATACTTAAATTTGTCAAATAATATGAAATTTCAAACTAAATACCAGAATGCACATATTTCTTCCCAAATAGATTTTGCAGTGGAACAATGCAGAGAGCCTGTGAAGAAAATGTGGCATACCATTGTACTGTATAAGGATGCTCTGGAACACGTCTTCCTTTCTTAATACAGTCCTCAATCCACCTATGGTTAACAATGAATGTATTTCTTGACTTCTTAGCAAGTTCAAATTTCCTTCCTTCAAATCTCCAGCATACCTATCACATCAATTATAATTCATCATAATTATATTTTATTGCCATATAAAAGGACAGTTTGACCTCCATATTTGAAACCTCTCAAATGAAAATCATATACTTTCAAATTCTTTTCAGTTTGTTTCTACTGATAAACTGGTTGAGGATGCCAGAGAAGTAGCAACTGACAATCCGAAGTTCTGAACAAGTGTCCTTAGATCTCTATCTCGCCAGAAGCAAGTGCAAATATCTTAGTGAATGATATACTCATTAAAAAGTTTTTGTTCGCTGCAAATTGATAGAGATATTACAATACAAGCTCAAAATTTTCATATATCTAACACAAACCAGGTGTGTAATGGAAACACTCATTGCCCCGACATAGTTTCCACCGGCCTTGGCAATCAATTTGATGAGATTGAATCGCTCGGTGCCCTGGTATCCACTGACTGTAGCAACCACTTTCTCCATACCTTGAATAGGTTTTTGCAACACGGTAAAATCAAATTCCTCTCCTGATTAAGCTGAAACTGGCAAAATATCTTAATCAAACGAATTAAGTTCGACAAAGAAGAAGCACAGGTATGAAATGCAACCCTAGATCAAAATCGAATACACATACGAAATCTAATATACGTTTCGTGTTCATATTACTAGAGAGAGAGAGGTGGGAGGAAAAAGCTTACCCGCGACCCTGGCGGAAATCTGGATCGCCGTCTTTCAGAGCCTGTGTCCTTTCACTTTCCGGTGACCTTTGCCGGGAAACTGAAATTTTGAATATTGGATTCAAACACGAGCTATTTAACCTGTGTTGACTTTCTAAACGACCAAGCGATGGGCCGATATTAAGCCCAACTAAAAATGTGCCTATTTCGGGGCAAATTATGCTGTGCATCCGTATGCACCATGCATGGTGCATACGGATACAAAAACGACGTCGTTTTAATAAAACATGCGTCTCCCTTTAAAAAAAATCAGGTTCAATTCCCAGCAACAACATATGAACTAAAATTTCATAATCGATGAACTATAATTCCATAATCGATGAACTATAATTCCATAATCTAATCTATGAACTAAAAATTCCAGAATGAATGAACTAAAATTCCATAACCTATAAACTAAAATTTCAGAATCGATGAACTACAATTCCATAATCGATGAACTATAATTCCATAATCAATGAACTATAATTCCATAATCTATAAACTAAAATTCCAGAATGAATGAACAATATAATGTTGTTGCTGGGGATCGAACCTGAATTTTTTTTAAAGGGGAAACGCGCATTTTTTAATAAAACGACGTCGTTTTGGCATCCGTATGCACCATGCATGGTGCATACGGATGCACAGCATAACGATCCCTATTTCGGGCTTGTGCCCATGTTTTGGTCAACCCACACATTTTGGTTAATCCCGTCAGTATTATTATAATTTTTTATAAAATACATCTTATATATTTGAGAATTATATTCTATTATTATTATGGGATAAAGGGCAAGTAGACCATCCAACTATATACTAAAATATAATTAGACCTTCACACTAAAAATCAATCAATCAATTAAACCCTTACACTTGTTTAAAATGTGCAATTAACTAATTTAATTTATAATAGCATGTTAGCTTCAAGGCACATGCCACGTAACACGTTACATAGATTAAATTTTTAAAAAATTATTTTAAAAATAAATCAAAACAATTATATTATATTTTTTTTTTTAAAGATTGTTATGGCAACAGCTACCATGACTTCTTCGTCCCTGTCGAACTGGATGGAGCTATCCAGTTCGACCTGGATGAAGAAGCATGCGGGTTTCTCATTCTGATTTGGACAGAGAAATCTGCTTCTCCTTGAGATTGGACGGAGAAGCCGCCAATTTCTTAGTCCGAAACAAATGGATAAGTCGGTTGGCTTTTCCATCCGATTTGAATGGAGCAACCATGACTTTTTGTTCTAAACTTATAGAAAAGTGGGTAACTTTCTATTTTTTAATCATTTTTTGTTTATTTTTTTTTATTTTTGAATAGGATGTCATGTAGGATGCTATGCAATCAAAATTAACTGGTTACACGTTGGTAACATGTTAAATATGTTCATTGCATAATTTTTATCAATTTAAGAGTTTTTTTTAGACTAGTCTCCCAGTACATAGCAGATGACTAATTAAAAGTCGTAGTGGCCAAAGTATGAGTTAGTAAATTCAGCGATCTAGGAATAAAACTAACTAAACAACTATCAAACTGTGAAATAGAATGTCTGCAAGTATCAATGGCATAGTTGACGTACGATCAAGCTGGCTCCCCAGTCGAAGATAAACAGTGCTGAAGACTCGAGCAATCCGTAAGTAGTTCAATAGACCGCTCCCCGCGATCTCTTAGTCAGGACAGGACTTCCTTACATGCAAAGACTTTGGCCATAAGTAGGGAAAACAAGGAGGTAACATAGCATTGAAGGCCGCACACATAGCCTTCGTTTTCATCGAATAAAACCGCCCCCACCGTGGCGTTGTTGGACGTGGGCAGGTAACCGGCATCAAAGCGGCACGAGCGCAAACCGGCAGATGTTGTTGTGGCAGCAACGTGTGGCTCAGCTGTGTGGCTCGTGGAAGCAGCATCCGAGGGCGCGATAACAAGTACCGAAGGCGCAGCTTGAGGAGCGGCAAAAGCGGCATCAACAGGCGAGTTCCTCACGTGGACAACAGGCTGCGTACTAAGCCATGCATGCAAGGCGGCTGTAGCGGCCGCCGCGACCTTCCTCGGGGGCAGAAGACATGCATCTCATACCGCACTATTTCTTGCCTTCCAAATAGAATATATAATAACAGTTGTGAAAAATATCTCATTAGAGTCTAGAATACTCAAAACTTCATCAAACCAAGAATGAAAAATATTTGTCACAATGGTAGGGATTGGAAGGTAGGATTCTCCCCAAATGGCTCTTCCAAAATCACACAACACCAAAGAATGCATTGTATCTTCATGCATGATACCACACATGGCACAAATAGGATCAACATCTACCCTCGGCCACTTTGGTGACTAACAAATTTAATCATAATTAGATACCAAATAAAAATACTATAATAATAAAATAAATAAAAACATGAAATTTATACAGAATTACAGTTTAAATGAAAAACATCGTGTACGTAATCATCAGTCCATACGTAACTTCTTAATCATTGAGGAAGAATTCAGTAAGGATTAATACTTTATACTGTAATCCATATATATAATGAACCACTGCACTAAAATATGTGAATCAAACAAATTGAATTACTGTAATTCATATTTCAAATATGCAGCAATATTACGGAAGCGACAACATAAATAATTACAGAAGCATACGCAGATCATCATATATAACTGTCAAAAATCATGCACTGAGAGAAAAGGTCTCTTATTTACTTGATAAGATACACCATCTATAAGAGCGATAGTTTATATCTCAAAACGTACTGTAGCAACATATACACATACTTCAAAAACATACTGTAGCAACATATACATATACATGACACCAATCTTATGATTAGCATTTTGATACTGTAATACTGTAATACATACTGTAATACATATACATATACATTAGCATGATTACTTCGAAAACATACTGTAGCAATTCACATCATACCCATATAATATGGAGTTGCATCATTAAAACAATACGTGCATACGAAATATGAAAACTTGAGTAGCATCATCAATGAAAACACTAACCGCGCACGCATACATAAAGGTATGAAAAAACATATGTTCTACAACCAGGCTCATGATACCACATGTAAGTTAATCCTAAAACATAAGATCTTCAGAACACATGCCTTTCACATACTGTATTTAAATAGCATTCTGGGAACATACCTGGCTCCATTGTTTTCCTGTAGTTGCTTGAGTTAGAAACTTGGTTTCTCCCTCCAGACTTTTAACATTCACTTAATCTAATTCTCTGATGGAGAGAGTTTTTTAGTTTTTACAGAGGTTGGGGAGAGGACCAGAGTCTCACAATGAAATATAAATAATAATACGTTCCATCAACGTAAACCTGATGATATGCAGTTGAAACTGCAATCTTATCTTCTTAACTGACCAAACAGAGGATTATCTCATTATTAAATCATAAATAGATATTTAATTATGAGCCACAATAAAACATAATGAACCATAGAATAATAATAATAATAATTCTAACAAGATTTTCTATTTTGGAGATTTTAAGTTTTCACAAAGTTCGGCATTTATCAAAATTGCCTTCTTTGTGAACAAAACTAATTACATTAAGAGTTTAATTGAAGTATTATTTAGTTTAAGAGTCTAATTGCATTTTACCATATAGTTGAAATGCTTATTTGATCCTTATCCATTTTTTTTTTTCCAATATAATTGCAATATGTAACAAAATTTTACTTCATGATGGTCTAGTATCATTTTCGTCTTTTAAGAAAAAGTGAGGTAACATAAAAGAGAAAATTTATAAGACTCCTTAACTTCCTAAATCGCTACAGGAAGTAAATTACGAATCATACAGTCATCGTGCCATCTCTTTTAAACGAGATAGGATGTAATTTAGGGTCAAAATTAGATGGATTGGTGGAAGAATACAGAGTAGAACAGTCTCACTAAGTTCAAACTACAATACCAAGATACTGTGGAGTATATATCAGAGTATATCAGACAAGATGAAGATTAGAATGAAAACTACACAGTACAGATCGAACAGAACCACATCAATGTCGGTAAAGCCGATTCTATTCCCACGTACATATGATCTTCCGGGTGTTTCTGCAATTGAAGTTAATCAACAAACTCCCATCCATTCTCCTCATCACAAAACTCTCCACCAACACATAGCAACCAAATCTTCTCCACCCACTCTCACTCTTGATCTCCTCCGTCCCCTCCACCCTCACATCACCCTGGCCATCGCCGAACCACCCCCGCCTTTCTTGCACCCATCTCAGCTGCTCAACAATGGCGGAGCTCAAACCCACACGTCTTTCATACCCTCCTTTCATAGTACTAAACCATACGAACTCGCCGTGGGGTCCGGTTTTCGGTTCCCTGGAAGCTTCTACGCCGTCGATCAACGTTAATAGCTTCTTCACGCGTGCATCAATGGCCACGACGTTGCCTGCAGATCTGGTACACGCGTAGATTTCCTCCCACCAACGTTTCAGGGCAACCTCGTAGAACAAAGATTTCTTCATCTGCTGCTCTTTGCAGGTTCCTTCTTCCTGCATGAATACAAAGGGGCAATACCACTTTCCGATGACGATCGGAGTGGAACGCTTTGAAGAAATGGGAGCTTTTAGTTCAGGAATGTCTGGTGGGTGAAAAGGATTGAGGCCCTGAGCTTCCCTGAGATGGATTCTAATGGAGGAATGGGAAATGTGAACTTCCCATCCTTTTCTTCTCAAGAACTTCGGAGGTATGCCGTCCCACGCTACGGCTCTGGCATAGAATCCGCCATTAAAATAAGGGCAGATCTCGAACTGCTGATACACATCCTTGTGGTTAAACTGCCTTGGTTTCAGCTCCTCACTATCACTCTCAAAGCAACATGTTCTCACTGCCATTTCTCGGGCACATACATACGCCCTCCTACACCATAAAAACACAACCTTTAGCTAACTGCAAGATCATGAACGGCTCAAACTATGAAGCCTCATCGCTCCTACTGAGAGTCATAACTTTAATGCAGTTGAAGCATGTGCTCCATTTCAACTAAAAGCATAAACTGATAGTTAGATTGCACATTAATGGTTATATGCTTGACACGCCCTCACATGTGCGGGCAGCTCAACAGGCCTCCTTAGGTGTGCGGGCCGTTACTTTTGGAGTCCAAGCAACAGGTGGTCCGGCATGTGCTCCATGCAACACGTGGTCTGGCATGTGGCTCCATCTCAACTAAAAGTCTAAGCTGATAGTTAGATTGCACATTAATGGTTATATGTTCAACAACTGCAACTTTCAATGGTCTATACATGTTGCAGAATCAGTCTGAATCACAAATCTGGCACTTACCCTTTGTGTCTGCCGTTGGCTTTGATAACATAGTAGCGGTTGGAGGAAAGAGGGTGATCAAGAACAGGAATGAACCAGACTTTCTTGACACTGTCTTTGTCATACTCCGACACATGAACAACCTTCAAGATCCTGTCCTGAGGAAACGGCAGCCTCGTGATTCTGTCGTGCTGGTAGACACCCCAACAAAACGAGTCCATTTCTTGAGATTCTTCATCAGTAGCCACCAGATAACCAGAATTTGGAGCCTCTGCAGGATATTTGGAGAGAGCAGCCGGGTTTTTGCGGTATAGTGAGAGTGGCATTGTGGTATACATTTCAGTATTCTGTGGCTAATCTTAGTTTGTGAGTACAGTTGCTTAAGGGTATATATATCAGTCTTGATTTCTTATGAGGGAAGGAAGGGGAATAGTGTCCCTTTTGGAAAAGCAAAAGAGACAAATATGGATCATGACTCAGACAAATATGATCATTTGGCTCATTGCTGTCCCCAGTTTCCATTTTCTGATTGATGCTTTATTGTTTCCTTCTTTTTACGTTGTCACAAAGGTAGTGTTCTAATGGGCACATCAGCCATCATTTTTCTAACGCACGTTGTAAAGAAAACGAGTCTCATGATAAGATCCAAACCACTTTTAACACAATAATTGCACTATATAACAATATAATATTCACCGTTACTCAATCCAGCCAAGTTTGATCAGGCTGTTGATTTGTATCTGGTTTGAACCTATCAGCTATGAACAACCTAGATTGATTTACCCAATGCACATTCTGATTGCGGGTTTCTCTGGGTCGCCCAAAAAAAAACATGTTTTAACGTACTATGCTGAAATCTGCTTGGAAATCTGCTTTCTGCTGTTCCATGTTCATCCTGGTTCTTGTTCTTGAATTTCTGCAGCTGAGGCTGAAGAACGGTGGAATTGAAAACTCCTGGTTTTTGAGACCTTAAAAACATTTTGCGTGTTGAACTGATCGACAAACCCGACAGGGGAGTACTTATAGGCGCAATGCTCCAAGAAGAATGGACGACAATCGACAATATTAATAGCCGCAATCTCCAAGAAGAATGGATGACAATGGACAATATTAAGATTAATCAGTCAAATCCTAGGTCAGTTAGAAACGCTCCATTCTTAACCGTCCCATGTAGACCACGCATTTTGTTTGGTTTTATGGTTTTGTTTTCTTTGTGTTTTTGGTATTACTTCAATTCCCTGTTCTTCGAGTGTTAATTTATCTTTCAAATCTCTTTGCAAATCATCAAATTTCTTTGATATGTTACCATTATTGTTGGGTGTAAGATTATGAAGTTTGAATCTGTATGCTGTTTCAGGTAAGCAGAATATGCATGCTTGCATGCATATATGGTTAAGTTAAATAAATTGGGTCTGGGTATAATTAATTTCTTTAATTTCAAATAGAATTTGTTAAATTTTTAACGTTTTTTTTATTGTTGAAAATAAAATCCTGTTATTTTTTACAAATTATAATTATGAAATATACAAATTATGAAAAGAAGAAGAAGGCAGTAATCCAACTGCCAACAACTTTATAATTAATTTCTAATAATGAATGATTAACATTTTAAATTTTTTTTATGTAACCTTTGTTGCAGTTAAATTTTTAGGTTGAACCCTAATGTAACACTTTTTGACAACGGATATGTACTTTAGAGTTCTTCAATAACCATTTCATGACTAAATATGTATGACGTTTGGTGACTAAGTGACTTATTGCGTTCAGAGTTCTTCGATAACCATTCCATGGTTAAGTATGTATGGTATTTGATGACCCAGCGACTTATCGAGTTCGAACTTCAAAGAATTGTTTAGCATACTCTACAGGAAGCTGAATTTTCTTGTCATTATCGCTTCTCTTGATTGTTAATTCCTAATATTTTTACAAACTTCTCATCAAAAAAAGAAAAAATTACGAACACAACAATTATTTTCTCCCACTCATGAATTTGTTGGCCTCCAACTTTCCATCTTCTCGTCACAAGATGATGAGTATTGCATATTTGATAAATTTTGTTTACATATATATGGGCACATAAATTATGAGGTGCATACTCATAAGTCAAATGTTATTAAATGCAGTATTGAAGGTCAAATTACTACGCCTTTTGGTTTTTTATAAAAAAAAACTAGAATGCAAGGTTGGACACTAACAAAGCGTCCAATAGGCATATGTCGTGTATTACACATGCCAAATTTTTTAATTTTTTATAAAAAATTATGCTGCAAAGTTGGACATATACAGAGCGCCCAATGAGCACACGCCCATTGGCCATTGTTAAACCCTTGTCAATTGGTAAGTTTCTTTTACTATATATATATTGTATATATATATATATATGTATTCATTTACTTCTATATATAATTGTTTTTTAAAATATTTCTTTGTTTAAGGAGAAAAAGAAGAAAATATATGATAAGGATGAAAATATTTTTTAATAAATTTAATTTGTCTTTTCTTTTAAACGTATTAAATGCTTATTTAACTTATAATAATGATTTTTAGCCTTACAAATTTTGTTTGACTTGCAGATTTTTTTTTTTTACTATCCTCTGGATATGATTCATCTTCTGATGTTGCTGACGCAATGGGCGTTGGGTATTCAAGATTTATGCAGTTGATTTAAAAAAAAAAAAAGTGTTAAAAAAAACCCAAAATAGGAAATAATTAATTAACTAAGCATAATATAGAAGCTTTTCAATTAAGGATGTTTTTAAAATTTTCCTTTTTTATATTTTTATATTTTTTGCAGTTGCCCTAGAAACTGCGATTACCCCTTCATCGTAATCTAATCAAATCCAATATATCGAGTCGGCTCCACGTCAGGCCCGCGGGTGCATGAATCATAATAAGTTAAATGACTTCGTTAAATAGTCGATGCAGTTCATCGGATATTGTTACAGTTTTATCGGACGAGAGAGAGAATCAAGAAGACAAGAATCAAGATCGGTTTCGTTAATGGCAAGCCGTGTAGGGAATCCCGGAAAAATCGCGAAGAGTCTGCCCCGTTTCGTCCGGCGTCTGAACTCGGCTCCCTCGTCATTCACCACCCAACTCCCGCCGCCGCTCAACTTTGCCGAAAAGCCCGACCCAACTCCCGCCGCCGCCGCCGCCAAATCGGTCCTCGACTTTGAGGATGCCAAGGAGCTGTTTTTGTCGGTGCGGACGTCGAAGTTGGTGAAATCCGCCGTCGCGCTTCACGTGCTGGCAATCGAGCCCGCCGTCGACGCGGGTATTCGGGTGATGAATTCGCGGCTCATGGAGATTCCGGTGGTTCGGGAAACGGTGATGGGTCTCGTCGAGCGTACGTTTTACGGCCAATTTTGCGCCGGCAGGGATTTGGAGGAAGTTGCCCGGACCGTCGCCGGCATGTCGGAGACCGGCATTAAGGCTATGCTGGATTACGGGTCGGAGCACTCCCACGACAACGAATCGTGTGATCGGAGTATGAATGATATCCTTCAAACCGTCGACTCCGCCAAGTCTCTACCGCCGGTAAGATATTAATTAGTTGCGTAACTTTCTTTAATATAATCATTAATGTGCAATCCAACTATTACATGATTCAATTTTTTCAATTCTGCGTTTTATACACAGGTGAGTTTTGTGGTACTGAAGATCACAGCAATCTGTCCTCCAAAATTGCTGAAACGAGTAAGCGATTTATTGAGATGGGAGTACAAGAATCCAGCTTTCAATCTCCCATGGAAGCAAAAGAGCCTTCCAGTTTTATCAGACTCCAGTGCTCTTTACCACACGTCCAAAACCCCAGAGCCTTTAACCCAAGAAGAAGAGCGCGATCTTGAATTAGGCCATGAAAGATTGCAGAAAATCTGCAGATCGTGTTTGGAGGCGGGGGTTCCATTGTTGGTTGATGCAGAGGACACCACGGTTCAACCTGCGATTGATTACATGACCTATTCTGCAGCGGTTTCGTACTATAAAGACGACGGTCCTCTGGTGTTCGGGACAGTTCAGGCGTACTTGAAGGACGCCAAAGAGAGATTGGTGGCGGTGAAAATGGCGGCGGGGAAGATGGGGATTCCCATAGGGTTTAAGCTGGTGAGGGGCGCTTATATGACGAGTGAGAGTGGGTTGGCTTCAGCTTTGGGGGCTGGATCTCCGATTCATGACACCATTCATAACACTCACAAATGTTACAATGATTGCGCTTCTTTCATGCTCGAGGAGATTGCGGCTGGCTCTGGAGCAGTTGTTATTGCTACCCACAATATTGAATCTGGTACGTGTATCTGATCAGTGTTGCAAAAATCGAGCCTAATCGGTGCCCTGGGCGGCTGGCGCCCTAATCGGTGCCCTAGGCGGCTGGCGCCCTAATCGGCTTAATCGGCGCCGGCGCCCTAGGCGGTCCCCGGCGCCTTAATCCTAGGCGGTCCCCGGCGCCTTAATCGGCCCCGGCGCCTTAACCCTAGGCGGTCCCCGGCGCCTTAATCGGTCCCCGGCGCCTTAATCCTAGGCGGTCCCCGGCGCCTTAATCGGCGCCGGCGCCCTAGGCGGTCCCCGGCGCCTTAATCGCGCCGGCGCCCTAGGCGGTCTCAGGCGCGCCTTAATCGGCGCCGGTGCCCTAGGTGGTACACTAACATTGTATCTGCTAAAGCTTAATGTTAGTGTTGGTTGGTTCTTATTATTTATATTTTTACTTGTTTTGGTCTCGTGATAGGGAAGCTAGCTGCAACTAAGGCAATAGATTTGGGGATCAAAAGGGACAATCAAAAGCTCCAATTCGCACAGCTATATGGAATGTCAGAAGGTTTATCCTTTGGTTTGAAAAAAGCAGGGTTTCAGGTTAGCAAGTATTTGCCATTTGGACCTGTGGACCAGATCATGCCTTATCTTCTGAGGAGAGCTGAAGAAAACCGAGGGCTTTTATCAGCTTCATCTCTCGACAGACAACTCATGAGGTAATTTAATTTAATTAACCAAACACAGTTGTTTTAACTCTGTTTCTAAATCATTTATTTAGGTTAATTAATGAGGTAATTTAATTTAATTAACCAAACACAGTTGTTTTAACTCTGTTTCTAAATCATATATTTAGGTTAATTAATGCCGGATGAAAGTTGATCCCTTGTTTACTCTTTCTGTTTCCAGGAAGGAGCTGAAAAGAAGGCTGGCATCAATTATTCTTTAGCAGAGACAAGATTCCTAGGCCAGCCACAATCAGTCTTGATCATTAGTGGTTATGTAACTACTAGTTATTGATCGCCCATTGCGCGTTTAATGTCCCACGTGTATTATTAAATTAGTATTTCAGAATTTATTAAAATATTAATCGATTTCTTATCATATATCAATATACAATTTTCTATAATAATAAATATTTCAAGAATCCATCAGTATAACGCGTGGCATAAATGTTTGATTAACAGGTGTAATAGCAGTTTTAGACGGACACAACACAAAATCCTATTAATTTTACCAGTTTGGCGTGATCCATGCTTTCTCTTGTTGCGACTTTCAACATAAATGAATTATTGATTAATTAACCAAAGTTTATGTAGCTATAAAAAAAAAGTTTATGTTAAATTTTATATTGTGTTTTCTTTTTTAATACACTCTACCATTTTTTTTTATTTTTTATTTTTGAAAATAATACACTCTACTATATTAGTATGTCTAACAATTATAACCTAAGACTTTCCTTAATCAATGAGTAAGGTAATATAAATCATTCATTTCAACTAACAATTACACCAATATTCTTTTGTTTTTATTCAATATCTAATTTTATTGACTCTTATTAAATTTGTAGATACATGCTTAATTTTATTGGCTCTTATTAAGTTTATATATATATATATATATATATATATATATATATATATATATATATATATATATATATATATATGAATGAATTGAAGCAACCACAACCTGCATTTCAAGAATGTAAGAGATTGTGGCTTTGCTTGGTAAGCTCTAGTTAAATATATAGCAAAATGAATGAAGATGATGATACTATTATGCTATATGTTTTGTTTTTTTTTTTGGTGACGACAAAAATTCTTGTTACTATTTGAAGGTTTTTACTGAATAAATTGTACAATAACATACACATACAATAACATATAAATTAAGTAATAAAGATAAATCATACTATAAATATTTTGTATAAAAATGTTGATGAAATTTGAACTTGTGACATTTAATTACAATAATCAATACAGATAGATTCATTTTTTCAAAAGGCTGAACCCCAACCCTAAGGGCCCCACACCTCGATACACACATAGATTCATTGAATTGATGATTGGGGTTTTCATGGGATGGGATAAGACTGTCTCGGCTGTACAGGTCAGAGTACACATCCATGTGGACCAGAAAATTATTGTGTATAAATCTCTATCTCTATCTCTATCTCCATATCTTTAATCTTTATCTCTATATTTCTATTTCTATTTGTATCTTTATATGACCAAAAAAAAAATTCCTCCAAAGTGTGAAATCATTTATTATATATATATATATATATGTGAAAGCATTTATTTATGGGAGGAAATAAAGTGGTCTAATGGTACCCGGGTTGGACTTCCATTTGGAAGGTTGTAAATTCGAGTCTCTTGTGTTTCAGTACGTTGAGAAAGTAAAGTATGGGATATGGGATATCTATATATGTGAAAGCAGTTATTTATGGAAGTAAATAAAGTAATTAAGTATAATCATTATAATTTACGTTGAGAAAGTATGGGATATCTATATATGTTAAACCAGTTATTTATGGAAACAAATAAAGTAATTAAGTATAATCATTATAATTTACCAGGACTATGTGATTTAATGGTACCCGGGTTGGATTTTCATTTGGAAGGTTGTAAGTTCGAGCCTCGGTAGAGGTGTTGAACAGATACATCTCTTTACATTAGAAAGAGCCATATTATTATTGAATATAAATGAATGAATAAATAAATAATGAATATAAACATCATTATATTGTTTTTATTTTATTATTAACTATGTTAATATTTACAATTTAGTATATATGTTAATATTTAAGTAACATTGGTGAGTGTTTTTTTTTTTTTTAGTAAAATTGATTGATTTGATTTTTTGTATTGTGATGATTTAATTTTAATATGTTAGAGATATAAATGCTCAAACTTTCTAATGTAAATAAAATAACTCTTTAATTATTTTACAATAATCAAATAAATACAATTTACAAATAAAAGTGTGTACGTTTATCCCAATGTGAAGTTATTAAAAACATCAGCATATTGTTTTTATTTTATTTTTTTAATGCGTTTTTATTTTATTATTAAGAATGTTGTTATTTACAATTTATTATATATGTTAATATTTAAGTAACATTACTTGACATAAGTCATATTCATATATCGCACAGATAGAATACTAATACATAGAATAAATAAAATGAAGAGGCCAAAAAGGGCACCAACTTAACGTAACTGACTGGAAATCACACAATTTTTGACTATTCTTTACTAATCAAAATCTTAGTAAAATTTTGGATCGGAAATAAAATGTTAGATTTATTTCATTAACCGAACATATTGTTATAAAGTGTTTAAAATAATAATTATTTTTAGTAACGGTGACCGGTCAATTGCTTGGATGGGTATCTCCAACTCCAAGCATGACATGATTCTTAAATGCAACTTTTGTCTGCCGAAAGAATTGTTTGGTTGTGGGAATATACTGTCATTTTCTCACCCAAATTGTAGGAACTCAAAAAGAATCTGGGATCTATAATACTTTTTCTTTTAAGTAAAATATTATTTGTATTGTACTCTTATTTCTTATTTCCAATGTTTATTTCCTTTCACAAATTATTAATATAGATAATTTTTCTAGAACCCACAGAATGAAATTATCATATCATTGATTGACACTTAGGGAATAGATTTTGAGAGTACATGTAGTAAAACTCTTTTCTTAATGCCGAAAAAAAAATTTGTAGCCCTTTATTTGAGAATATACACGTTGGGTGTGGGTATCAAAATCATTGTCATTATATTGTTGAACAAACTAAATGTTGGGTGTGGGTGTCAAAATCATGCCAGATTGTTGAGCAAACTAGCAGAGATTCTATACATGGAGAAGTGGTTAAAACAATTACGCTAAAAGATTCAACAAATCTTTTCAGTTGGATGTCACAACACAATCACACCAAATGAGAGAGTCCGGAAACGAACTAGAAAAAATTTAATATAACGTATTACTTTGAAGGAGTTACGTAAACAAATTGCTAATGCAATTATATTGTGTTAGGTATTGAAGAATATGATACCTAAAAAGATTATCTCGTGCCTAAAATTATGATTAAAAATAAATTAAAATAAAAATATTGTGTAAATAAAATTTTATCTACAAAATCATATATGTTATTACTATTAGTATGTAGGTTTGAAGAGGACCCCTTGATCCAACAAGGTTTTGGCCTTGATCTTTGTCCTCCGATTGTTATATCATGGACCATGGTTCATATTGCGAGGTAGATATAATTGTATATTTTTAGAATTATAACTGTAAATTTTTAGAATATAAATTGTGCTTTTAAGTCAAAATACATAAATACAATACATGGTCAATAAATCCTAATTTGTTAATATTGTGTGACGATAGTATTTGAAATGAACTTCTGAATACAAAACAAAGTAATTAATCGATTACATATATGTTAACATTGTGTGCTCATAGTATATAAATTGTGAATTTTTAAAAGGTAAATTGTGAACATTTAATATGTAAATTGTGAGTATTTAGACACAGGTCCACATTGGGTCCATAGAATAATTTGCCTTTGTCCTCGGCCTATGTTTATAATTACTGAACTCTATGTTCATAATTTTTGAACTTCATATTCAAAATATTGAACTCTATATTCACAATTACAAAACTCTATGTTCATAATTATAGAACTCTATGTTCGTAATTTTTGAACTCTATATTAACAATTATGAACAGTTTTGGAACTGTGTCCACCTTGCAAGGTGGACAAGATTCTATGTTGATAATTACTGAATTATATGTTCATAATTATAAAGGTATATTTTCATAATTTTTGAACTTCATATTCATAATTATTGAACTCTATATATTCACAATTACAGAACTCTATGTTTATAATTATAAATTAGCTTTATATTCATAAATTTTGAACTTTATATTCACAATTATTGAATTTTTATATTCATAATTACAGAACTATATGTTCATAATTATGTTCACAACTCTATGTTCATAATTATAGAATTATATGTTCATAATTTTTGAACTATATATTCATAATTCTGAACAATTTTGGAACCGTGTCCACAACATAATTTGCCATTAACCACAAAGCCAATAACAAATCTACTATACTAATCAAAGTCAAAGAAAGTTGGTCGTCAAATTATTAAATCAAATGAAAGGTTCAAATTATTCAAATTTTAATTTTTCATTGAGAGTTCCTAATTTATCCTTAATTATATGATTATCCGTTAACTTTCCCATTAAATATTATCTTTTCCGTTAATTCACCATTAACATTGCCTAAAAATCTTTATAGAATTCTAATATTAAAGTCTTAATAGAACTCTAACCCACAAATCCTTATAGAATTATAACTACACCATTAGTCTAATTCTAATATTAAAGTCTAATATAGAATTATAACTACAACATTAGTCTAATTATAACATTAAAGTCTTAATAAAACTCTAACCCACAAATCCGCAATTATAATATTAAAGTCTTAATAAAACTCTAACCCACAAATACTTATAGAATTATAACTACACCATTGGTCATTGGACAACCAAACTCAACCTTATGCTAGAAGCACTTCAAACTATACTAGTATATATTTAATATCTTATGCCCTAATTTTTATTTGCTCTTCATTATATCTCGTATTTGATTTCAACCATACATATGCAATTATTTCATTGACAATTATAATCAATCTTGATTATATTATCTTGCATTTGTAAACTTAGAATTACCTATTTAAATACACATATTCAACATTCAATTATCTATGCATGAATAACTCCAATATAACCTTACCTTGATTATATACTTTAAAGTACTTATTTGAAAATAAACATTGGGTATTATTCCAATCGCGCAATGCACGTAAAAAAAAAAAACTAGTCATTTATATAAATGTACTAATCATTAATATACTTTTTTATATATAAATAAGCATATATTTATGTATATACTGTAATTATATAAAATTATATATATATATATATATATATATATATATATATATATGGATGAGCTCGGGTGTGGAGATGCTCCTAAGTAAAAGATGAGGTTAAATTGGAGTTGTTGATCAAATTTAGATCAACAACTCAAATTAATTCAAATTTTAAAGTTCGTGCGTCCTCAATTAAATTCATCTTCTTCATGTTTACTCTAAAGATAACAACTCAACTATTTGTTACTCCGAATTATATTGCTATCAATTTTTTTTTTCTTTTGAATTAGATAATTGAAAATATCAAAATGTGGATTGGGTCATTTTGAACTTGGGAACTAAAACTGAAAAAACACCATTGTACTGTTGAGTGAAAAAAATTGTAAAAATGATGCACATTAAGAAGGAAACCACACATCTAATTAAAGCTTTAGACCGATGCACCTTAAGAAGGAAAATCACACACCTAAAACTTTAGGTCGATGCACCTTTAAGTTTCAACAATTGACGCATATTAAGCACACAACCCACGCACCTTAAATTTCACTTAGGGTGCGTTTGGAAACTAGTAAAATGACTTCTGGAAAATGTTTTCTGAAAAATGAGTCATTTTCTAGAAAACATTTTCCTTTCCGGTGTTTGGCTGCACAACGAAAAATGGTCCTTTTGTGTTTGGTTCATTTTTCAGAAAATGAGCTCGAAAATGAACAGAATTGTATACTTTAACATTTTAATTGTTTGATACTTATGATAAAATCCTTTTTTAAACGGCACTCATTAAGCCTTGTGGATAATTTTGATTTTATATATATATATATATATATATATATATATATATATATATATATATATATATATATATATATATATATACACGATGGTTTTATCGGGACTGGGTCCATCATAAACTGGGTATAGAAAATATAGAACGAAATAAAAGAGCTATTATTGCCGATAGGGCGCGAGGCTCACACAAACACGCACAAGCCCAATGCCGCAGGCCCATAAATAGTAATACAAGAAAGCTACACGGTGAAAAGGGAAATAAACGGATAGACATAAACCTAAATTACATGCATATAATAGTATAATACCAGAATTGATCCTTTGACCAATTTGGAGAGAGAGAAGACTCAAACCGCCAAGCTCGCTACCAGGTCTTTTGTGTTTCTTGCCATGTCCTAAACTGACCGTAGCCCCCCTTTTATATCCTCTCAGGACTTCCGCATACCACCCACGTGTACAACATCTACAGGCCTCTCACCATACACGTGTCCTCCCTTTTCCGCACGTACCCCCAACTGCTCGAACGGGACCGATTTTGTCGCGCACTCTCCCGGGATCCCTGCTCCTATACGCACCGCCCTCCGTCAGCTGCCCTTCCGTGCGCAGCATGCATGCACTAGCCGCCATTCCACCCACATGCATGGATGTACGTAGCCGCCACCCCGCGCACGCATGCATTCAATAGCCGCCATTCCACCCGCATGCATGCATGTACGTAGTCTCCAACAGCGTGCATGCAACCGCTACCCGTATGCGCAGCCGCCACCTTATACGCATGCAACCGCCACCTTGTGCGCATGCAATCTTCATCTGTACGCGCAGCCACCACCTTATACGCATGCAACCGCCACCCGTGCGCACGGCCGCCACCTTGTACGCATGCAACCGTCATCCGTACGCGCAGCCACCACCTTGTATGCATGCAATCGCTACCAGTGCACGAAGCCGCTACCTTTTACGCATGCAACCACCTCGCATACACGTGTGCATGCGAGCCCATGCGTGTGAGCCCCCTCCATCCCTTTGAGCTCACACTCTCTAATGTACATGGGCCAGGCCCATTACATTATTCTACATTAATATATATACGTATACGATGTGCTGTGTGTAGTGTATATATATATTATGTATATCGTGTGTTGTGTGTAGTGTATATATATATATATATATATATACTATGTATATGGTGTGCTATGTGTAGTGTATATATACACAGTATACACATCACACACAATATATATATATATATATATATATATATATATATATATATATATATATATATATATATATATAGTGTATCCATATTACACACACACTATATATATACTATATAGTTATATATACTATACATAAGGGATTGGAAAATGACTTTCCAAAAAAAAAAAGAAGAAGTCTTACCCCCAAAACATACCTATTTTCTTTTGACTAATGCATCATTTTTCATTGACCTCATTTCTCCCCTCTTACTAAAACACTAAAAATTCAAAAAATATTTTTCAAAAGTTATTTTTCAAATTTTTAAACACACCCTTAGATGTAAAAGACTAAATTATCACTATATTTTTTAATTTTTGTTAATTCTAAATGTTGGTATTGACAAAATCAATGGCTCCCTATATCGACACACATTAATACGGAGTATATATTTTACACATACTAGCGGGTTTGACGACTCACGTTGTCCCGCCAATTTACCGGACAAACTAAAATATTTACCAATTTTTTATTTTTTTTTTGAAAACAAATATTTACCAATTTAATAGGTCATAAAACTCAAAGTTGGCCCCACTCTTTATGAACAGATGGACAAGCTATGCTCATTATAACAATTGCATGTGGACAGATTTCATACGTCCGAATAAACTGAAGCAATTTTCGTCATTAAAATACACGTGTCGTAGTTTTAACGTACGTGCTTCAGGTACCGCACTTTTACCACACGTGTTTCTAACGGACTATATATATACGCTTCCCTTTATATACGTTCCTCCACAGCCCATTCAACGCTCGAATAACAATTCATCAATCTTTCGCGTTTCTTCCCTTCATAAACTCCATTCATTCGTAGGGTTACTGCTCGATTAAGAGATCCGAAATCCGGAATTCGAGCTGTTATTCGGATCTCTTCTCCGTCATTCGGTTCGGCTTCTCTCATCTCGTTTTTGCTTTATTTAATCGTCTTTAATTTGCACGTACATTTGATATCTGAAAGGTTATTATTGATTTCTAGGGTTAATCTAATAATTGAAGCTCTTTAGTGGAAGGAGGTTCAACAGCGGGTCCGGCTTCGTCGTAAATTCCCCCACATTTATATCTAAGTGCGTTTCTTGATTCTTCTTTGTGCAATGCTCTAAAGTTTGATTGCAAATGTTAATATTTCCGCCGTCAGCTGTGATTGAAATTTATATATATTTCTCTGAGTGATTCTGGCTCGTGCTATCGATCTGTTCTTTTATTAATGTTATTATCTTTCCGTTCTTGATCCAATGTGGAGCGTTTTGAGACGGTTTCAATGTGTTTTTCGTAAAAAGTGAACCTATATTTGAATTCATTGTATATGTGACTCTCCTACTTTTCCTGTGTATATTTGGTTTTGATAGTTCCTATTATCTTTATAATCAACTATAGTATATTCATTCTGATATATAGTTTTGGGATTTGGAAATTAAATATTTCAAATATGATTTGATTGTTACTTTTAACACTCCAATCTGATAATGTATATGTATGTGCATGTTCTTTTTTCAGACTTCATTTACTTAGGTGAAGTTCTTCCAGTGGAGTTAGATTTTCATGACTACAATCAATCATTTAGCATGAAAAGATTGTACTTTTTTTGTGCATGAATTCATTAATAGTTGGCTGAATTTCATGATGCATTGTTTTCCTTTCCCCTTACTCATTGATTGTATCTATTTCTGATGATTGGATGTTGTAGGTAAGCCTGAATGATTTAATGGAGACTAAAGGTGGGAAGAAGAAATCTAGTAATATTTCCTTAGTTTACGAAGCCCCCCTTGAATACACTGTTGAGGACGTTCGACCACACGGAGGAATCAAGAAATTCAGATCTGCTGCTTACTCCAACGTGAGTGTTATTCACCTTGTAACAAATTATGATGTTCAATGTTTTAAATGTTTCTTTTTGCTAATAGTGTGAATAGTTGAAGACTCTGTGACTAATAGTGACTAATCTTCTCTTTGTTATAATGCAGTGCACACGCAAGCCATCCTGATAGTGGTTTACAGTGATTTGCAATAACCATGATTAGTGGTTTAGTAATAATAGTAGTTTGATCTTCTGTTTTTTTCATTTCGTTTCCTTTTTTTCCTTGTTGTTGTTTCTCTTTCATTTGTAATCGCACTCCTTTTGTCCAAGTCAAGATGTCGATGCCAGTGTCTGCAATCGGATTTGAAGGTTACGAAAAGAGGCTTGAGATCTCATTTTTTGAGCCTGAAATCTTTACCAATCCCAAAGGCCAGGGTCTGCAATCATTGTCCAAAGAGCAGTTGGATCAAGTTTTGAACCCAGCTGAGTGCACCATTGTCTCGTCCTTAGCAAACAATGAAGTTGACTCTTATGTCCTTTCTGAATCTAGCCTGTTTGTGTACCCATACAAGATTATAATCAAAACTTGTGGCACCACAAAACTGCTTCTCTCAATTCCTCCCATCCTCGAGCTGGCTGATGGGCTTGACCTCAAAGTGAAATCAGTGAGGTACACCCGTGGAAGTTTTATCTTTCCTGGGGCTCAATCATTTCCACACCGTAATTTCTCTGAAGAAGTAGATGTACTCGATGGCTATTTTGGTGTACTTGGTTCAGGCAGCAAATCCTATGTTATGGGTGGTGTTGACCCACAACAACAATGGCATGTCTATTCTGCATCTGCTGATTCTGCAGACGATGAACACCCCACCTACACTCTGGAAATGTGCATGACTGGTCTGGACAGTAAGAGTGCCTCTGTCTTTTATAAAACTCATTCGAGTTCTGCAGCCGTTATGACCCAAACTTCAGGCATTAGAGACATTCTCCCTGAATCAGAGATTTGTGATTTCGACTTCGAACCTTGTGGCTACTCAATGAACGCCATCGAGGAAGCTGCAATATCCACAATTCACGTGACACCAGAAGACGGTTTCAGCTATGCAAGCTTTGAAGCATTGGGTTATGATTTCAAAACTTTGAGCTTGAATGCACTTGTGGAGAGGGTGTTGGCCTGCTTCAAACCTGCAGACTTTTCTGTCGCTTTGCATAGCAACTCTACTGGAGCAGAGCTCGGTTCTGTGTTCAATCTGGATGTGAGAGGATACGTGTCTGACGATATGAGCTGCAAGGCACTTGGCAATGGAGGATCAATCATGTACTGCAGCTTCACATCCTCCACCGCTAGCTGTGGATCTCCTAGGTCTACCCTGAATTGCTGTTGGAGTGAAAGTGAAGATGAGGAAGGGGGAATAAGAAACACTACTGCATAAGTTTCATTCTCTCCCCTTCTTCCCAGCATGCTGTTTACACTTTATGGACTAAGGACTGCAACTAATAAAGTGTCTATCTGTGGTGTAATGGTGTCGGCTACTCTTATGGATGGAGTTTGTTATTCACAACTGTATGTGGATCTGATCTGTTGATTCTTTCCGTTTAAATAATAAAAAATATAAAGTATTAAATTTCCAATTATATTCCTCATCTCTTCCTTAATTAGCTAGCTTCCTTAATATAATCCATGTTTAATTCTTGCTTCTTGTCTTGTTGAGTTGTGTCCGACGTGGGTCGTCATGGCGTTTCTCCCATATTTTTACTTGAATTTTTAATGTTAATATTTATAATTCAGTATTTTAAATAAAATATAAAGAAAATACTCCTTAGTTGTTTTCACAAAAATCAAGGAAATTCCTACTAGGCACAATAAACTTAACCCCAAAAATTAAAATCTCAAAATTTGAAATAAAATATTAAGAAAAATGATTGTCCATTCATCGATTTCATATTCATATTTGCCTATATCAAGTTATTGTATTTTCGTATCCTAAAGAAAACAATATTAGAAAAATGATATTTTAAAATAATTTTGTGATTTACTGGTGCCAAGTTGAATTATCATATGAGAGGTTGTGGATTCGATTATTAGTACTTTTTGTACTTCAGTAGTTGTAAGAGCTTCAGTATTCACGCCTTACTAGATGATAAAAATAAGGATTGCCCATTTTAATGTAGTTTCTAAATATATAAATATTGTATATTAATATTAAATTTAATATTATAAAAATTAAATAAAAAAATGTAGTCAAGTCTAGTTAGTCAAACCACACCTAAAATGTGTTTGAGGAAATTTTGATTGGAGCAGAAGAAAGAGAATAAGGAGAGAAGGATTATTGAGAGGTTCTTGGAAGAACTTGGTTTTTAGTTCCCTCGGACGAATTGTTGAACCACATTTTGATTAATGTAACACATCATTTCATGGGTATGGGTAGCTATAAATACAAGACTTAACAACGTTGTATCCATCAGCAAAAAAAAAAAAAAAAAAAAAAGGAATAAAGAAATTCACAGAGCCCAGTTAACACATTAATAAACAAATTGCGTACGTAACAGTTTAATTACCTAATCACGTGCAGTTTAGTAGATATGAGGGGTCAATATTGCCTCCATCAAGGCTCAATCTCACAACCTCACTTACAAGGGAGCAACTTGGTGCCATTAGACTAAAAGATCCTGCACAATATTATGATTTGAATGCATTATATTACAGTATTTCCAATGTTACGTTGTTGTTGTTGCAGGAAAAGGGCAGTCAGATGATGGACAAGCTTAGCAATGCAGCCCAATCTGCCATAGTGCCATGCAATCAACGCAGGAGGTACATACAGCAGTTAGCTACAGATATATATATATTGTGCATGTGTATATATATAGGAAAGGTTCAAGTGCGATGCGGGTATAGCTTTCTGTGCGGTTGTGTCGTTAACTCAAAAAGAAGTATCTTAAGAACACAAGCCACGTATTTAAAGTTTTAAAATGACGCACCTTAAGTTAACTGACGCACCTTAAGTATACAAATCATGCACTTTAAGAATGAAAACAAACCCACCTTAAAAAGGAAAACCAGACACCTAAAACTTTAAGTCCACCTACTTTTAAGTTTCAACATTGATACACTTAAGAAGGAAAACCAGGCACCTAAAGTAATCACACAATCACACCTAAGAAGGCCTATCACACGCGAACACAATTATATATATATATATATATATATATATATATATATATATATATATATGAGCTCATCCATGATCCATGGTAGGATCCTCACCCTCAAATGTTAATATAGGCCACTCTTTGACCCACCGTCATAATTAGAACTCAATGCCCTAAACCCTAAACTTAATCACAATGTTGCCCTTCTTGCTTAAAACCACAAGAAAGTGGCCGATCTGCCACTTTGCTACTACATCTATGTTGGAAAAAGTGCTTGTAATCTGTAATACATTTAAGATACAACAATAATACAGAATACAACAGGGAACAAAAACTGGATCATTTGATATCTTCAGGCGTGTAATCACTTTCCTATAAGCTTTAAATCTCCCTCTATATAAGCAACAAGGTTCAAGATTTAATCTTATGGGATACAAGAAGATGAATGAAATTCTCAAGTTGCTTTGTTTGAGAATTCCCTGTAGAGATGTAAGCCTGTGAAGTATCTAGGTTTCCTGCAAAATAATTGCTTGTAAAATGCATGTAAATTGCCTGTAAAAATTGCATGGTTCCTTTCAGATGTTTCTCCAATATATTTATAGATGAAAAATATATCTGTTTGGAGAAGTTACATGGAAGTTGCTGTGATTTAAAACTCAACTTCCATAAGATAAGATATATCCTGATTGATATATCTATCACTGGAGAAATAATAAAATTATTTTGAGTCAGTAACTGTATGCAAAATTATATACATATATATATTTATATATTCCTTACGCATGAAAACATGCAAAGAATAAATATAAATAATATCTATATATGTAGTTCAATAATCTCAAGCATACAACTACATATACCAAGCATGTTAAGTGTAACTTTGAAGCATATAGCTTCAAAATGCATAAATAGAAGAGAATATTCCAAGCACGTTAAGTGCATATTCCAAGCACGTTAAGTGCATATCCCAAGCACGTTAAGTGTAACTTTGAAGCATATAGTTTCAAAATGCCCCAAAACCTTACGCATGAACATATCCAAACATGCGTTAATACTCTCAAGCATATTAGCTATATATCAGAAGCATATAGCTATATACTCTACAGCATATTAGCTATATACATTTCTCCCAGTATTTTAATTAACTTTCTACAAAACTAAAATAATATTTACAACTCCACAACTCCAAATATTATTTAAGCTTTCATGGTAGTTCATCTGAAACATTAATCTCCATTACTATATAAATTTCCAACATTCCTCCTCCATTTATATAGTAAAGACTAATACTTTACCAAGATAAATCCAAAACTCATGCATAAATGAAAGTGTCTTAGAGATTGAACTTTCACATAGTATTATATGCGTTACATTAATTCGGATTGCAGTGATGGACGAACCTTGAATCACGCAGTCTCTTTGAATAAACGTAGATATAACACACACAAGTTTTACAGTCATTACAACTCACTGTAACTTGACACTATTATGGCCATGTGTCCGTATCCTTTAATGAGCACGTACCAAGTAAAGCCCAAACTTGTTTGAAGCGGCCACACTTCATGCTCACAGAGGCTAATCTTTTATCTCATGCACTGCATCTTGCATTTTTTTAAAAGATCAGTTAAGAGTAAAAACTCATCCCTACAACAATGCAGAACCAAGCATCACCTTTTCTTTGGATACAATTTTAATTAAACTTTTGATGCTTGCAAATCACAAAATGAAGTACTCATCTACATTGAACTCAAGGTCTAACGTAATAACTTAGACGTGAGTTGAGCTTTCCTTCACTTGCAATTTTAATTTAGGCTTTCCGTATCCCTTCCGATGAACCATGTCCCTTGCAAGGACTCTTGCAAACGGATCCGTTAAAACCGGGACTGTACCAAGTCCAGTGCTACAACACTATTACTTAGGATTTTCCACATAACTAAATCTCAAGCCCATGTTCCTTCACTTGCCATTATAAACACTTGTTTATATGATATGGTCAGTGTAGTAGCATTGTCATATGTACTAAACTGGTGACATCGGTTTTGACCAAACCAGAATCTAAATAATCAAATTCCTTAGCCAATCAACTTCTTGCATGTCAAAGCCAACGCAAGAAATTCATATGCCGTAGTTGAAAAATCAATCTTTGCTTTTAGAAACACATAAAACAACACCTCCTCCAAGCAGAAATATCCATCTACTAAATGAGGAACAAGTTTCATGATTACACATTCAACTGGCATTAGAATATCTTTCCAGGATGAAAATATCTATCAAATACACCAAACCATAATTAATGGTTTTATTCAAGTATATCAAAATTCCTTTTAATCTCATCCACTTAGCCAACTAAACATGATGATAGATAGAATTTTAATATCCTATTAATGAACTGGTGAAATAAAATATTTAATTGATTATAACCGGAACCCACTTAATAGGTTCCTAATCAATAAATATTTATATCCTGCAAATTCTACAACCAAGAATTTCAATCATCATGTTGAACTTATTAGCAGTGAGGACTTCTTAAAATAAAAATTTAACCTCCTCCATTTGAGACATCATCAACTTTGGAAAATAAACCTCCCCCATTCAAATAACATCAACTTTGGAGAATAAACCATTTTGATTTTAAGCTTTTAACTTTTCATGTTTCTTCTAAACTGAAGAATCATACCAACTTAAATCATAATCAATGATTTAAATTTGAACTTTCTTTTTACTGCTAACTGCCAGCCATACTAGATAAACTAGTAAACTTTTTGGCTTTCAGAATTTTAACACATTCTCAATATGAGAAACTTTGTGTTAAAGGCATTCATAAATATTATGAATTTCATTATGCATATCTCATGCATAAAATTTATGCATCACTTCATAAGAAATATAACAGAGTATTTCAAAGGCATTTATGGCTTTATCAGAAATATTAATAACATAATATTTCAAAAGCTTTCATAACGATAAAAATCATCTATGTACTTAAATAATCAATAATTCCATGCATGACATTGAAATTATTTCCAACTTACAATCATTACACACTGTAACCATGCATAGAAAAACAAGAAATTGACAATACCAAATTAATCCAAATTTGATAAAATTTACAGCACCCCAAGATTCAACATATTATACATGCATCTTGTATACTATGCATGCAACCGAAACAGAGTCTCAATATAAAAATATTTATAAACATGCATAAACATATCCTTGTATTTAACAGACTATGCAAAATTCAAAAGAATCTCATGCATATCTTCTAGACATAATCTAGAACTTAACCAGTAAGTAAAATAAAACTTACGTACCTGCCAAGGCCGAGACAAAGATATAAAAGGTACTGTACCGATCTCATCCTGTAAATAATATCTTGCCTTGATAATCATCACTTTCGGCCTTTGATACGCTGAAACTGCACACCCACTCTAGGGAAGTACACATCTTCTCATGCCAATTAATCATGGCTAACAAAATGAATTATT